CTCTCTTTTGTATGCTTTAGCATGTTTTTTGTGAGAACTGTGTCCTCCAATGGTTTGATAGAGAGAGGACTTGCCCGCTGTGTAGGGCGAGTATTGCTTGCGATCCAAAATGGCGGGACGGTTCTACGTCTGCTTGGCCACAACTATTTTAAGACGGCATCACATTTAAGAGCTCTCTCTCCTGTTTTCATTCTTAACTGTTATAAATAAATCTTTTTGTTTCATTTCTTCTTTTTCCTCCCTTCCCCCCCTCTCTCTCTCTCTCATCTGTTCACTGTATTATAATTATTATTCATTATTATTGTTATTATTATTATTAATAATAATTATTGCAATAAATTTTTTTGATGAGGAAATAAACGTATAAAGTAATCAACTCATTTCATTTTGTTCAGTTTTACCTTGAATGTAATGCAGCCCTGGGCAGTTTTCTGTATTATTATTATCATTGCAACTTGTGGAAGTGGAGAAAACAGTAAAATCTTGTGTACTTTTCTGGATCTAAGTTATTGACTTCATTATAAACAGGTTGTTATGAAGGAGACTTGAGAGTTGATCCAGGCAATGGGCCTATACTGCAATTCTGCAGCGGAGGGATTTGGGGGTATATGTGTGCCAGTAATAATATCAAACAGAATAAAATTAATGCAGATGTTGCTTGTCAACAGTTGGGAAAGAAGCTATCAAAAGGAGGTAAGACCATAGGTATGAGAGTCATGCATTAATTTTGTATAGATATCACTAATGTCACCAGTAATACTCGACTTTCGCCTATTTATTACTATAACTTTTTTGCATGCACTGGATATGAAACAAAACTGAAAGAATGTCGTACTCCTGTTATATACAATACATTTAATGGGAGATGCAGGAATGATCTTTATGCTGCTGCCGTATGCGAACCAGCAGGTATTATTATAGTATTTCTAATATCTACTATGTTGTGTGTTTCTTAATGATCAGAGTGCAGGAATGGAGATTTAACTGTGAACAAGTCAAGGAACCAGTTTCCACTTCAGTTCTGTGCTA